TTTTGTTTTACCCTAAACCTGGTTGCTGGCCAAAAACCATTGAATTGGTCTACAACTCGTTGATCCGGGCAATGAAACCATTGACCAATTTAATGGTTTTTGCTATTTTATTTTTATTAATTTTTAATTTTAATTTTAAAATTTTAATTTTTTAAATTGGAATGGGTCTTCCATTTGAACCGGACAAATGGACCATCAACCTAAAAATCGGTGGCCAGAACAGTTTCTATTTCATATTGTTTTTAAAACCTTGCTTTTAATACATTTAAAATATGGTATCTCATGTGTTTCAATGACATGGCCATTTTTTGGCAACGTTACTTGAGTAGGATAGATCGTCGGACATAAGCAACTTAGTGCATGTTCTCACTTCCTACACGGGCCCGCACTTACTGGCATGGAACCTTATCATTGATTCCACAGTCGTTGAACAACCATTGTGTTCAACCAACTCTTGCTCATGAAAGAGAAAATAGAACAGGTGAAGAAGGCAAACAAAATAGGTGAAGAAGCCAAATCTTGCTCATTCAGCAACCCTCCAAAAAACTCCAAACAATGTAGTGGGGACTCGTTGGGGCCACCCTATTTATAGCAAATGCGAGTGGGAATCAACGATGGAGATGTGTTTCATCTGACGACCCAGAAAAGGAGTGCACACTTCCAATACTTAGCAGAAAATTCGAACTTTGAATTTGCTCGCCCAATTGAGCCACTTCGGCACTTGGTGGCGAAATTCAAAATTCGAACTCGCGTGCCCAATTTAAAATGCAAACCTAGTGTGTGTTAACCCACTCTCTAAACCGGGCGAGCGAGTCAGCTTGAGATTGTGGAGAACCAACTAGACCCGTCACTTCGGGCCAAAGACTTGTGAGGAGTTACTCTCTTCATCAAACTGACCTCGGCTCGGGAGTGAGAGGCAATTGATAAGGGGTGATTTGGCCCTCCAATGACAGTGACATAGTGACACATGGCTCCACAAAACCATCAGACGACAACTCAATGCCATGTAAGCGGACTTCGGGAGCACTTTAGACACCTCGCACTCGTTGCAACCTCCTCAGCCCCACCTCGATAGGACGACTTGCAGATAGACCAAAAGATGTCAAGTTGGCATAAGAGGCCACTTGCCTCCGCCGACCTAGTAGAAATTAAGCTAGTGGCCTGCATGATGCGATAGATGATCTCCTCCTTGAGCGATTTATCGTCTCTGACTTCCCTAGGATCATGGAGCTTACTACTGCCCCGCCCGTTTCGAACGTAACTGGATAAGCATTACTTGCTTACACAGAGTCTGTCTCCGAGTGTGAAACCACATCCAAACTAGACAGGTCAGAGATCTCGGATGTGCTTCGTGGAGCTCACGATTGTTCGCCTATATAAAAGCATCATCTTCCTTAGAAAAAAAGATACATGTGATTTAGCTCTCAAAAAGCCCACTAGCTCTCTTGCTTATCGAATTACAAAACTTTTTGTTGACTTAAGCATGAGTGCCCACCCCAGGTAAAGCAACTTGGACACTTTGATCTCTTTCTTTGCAACTCAGCTAGGCGACCGATTCAATTAAGTGTTCGAACTGTCTGCTAACAAGGAGCACCAGATCGTGCATCATCAGGACCAATAATATTCAACTCGTAATCCAGAAAAATAATAACATAAATAACATGAAAATAGATCAACAAGGATTAATTTGTGCATGGATACGTGGATCAAAGCGGGTGGGTTGAGGTACTTAAGGGTTTCTAATCCAATATTCAAACAAGATATAGATGACTTTTTTAAGGCATTTTAGTTAGTGTAAAATAAAATTACATGTTTTTATCTAAGGCCTTGTTTGTTTTTTAGCAATTTATTTATCTAGGTAAATGTACTTACCCAATTAAGTGTTTATTGAGAAACATTAACCCACATAGGTACATTTACCCATGTTTTTTTTTTTAATTCCCAAGTAAACAATATAATGACCATTTTAGCCATAAAACCCATTATTAAAAGGGACAGTTTTGTCCCATCCAAGTGTTGACAACTTTACCAGCCAGGGAAAGTTATTTACCCATCTTAGAGATGGGTATCATTTACCCGGTCCCCACATAAATATGAAAAAAGAGCATGAGTTTATTAGTCAATTGGACCAACTTCTCCCCCTTTCAAAATCCAAACAAATGAATGCCCCTTAAGGGTAATCTTGACATTTAAAAATGTTGAAAAGATGACATAAATGGATACAACTGGGGGTGTAGATGCAACAATGTAAGAAAGTTCAGTTAACAAAGAGTAGGGTATTGAACCACAACTATCATATAATAAAGGGAGGTTTCAACAATTTACCCTATTATCAATAGGGAAAATTCCCGATTAGTATATTGTACTATGGGCCTAGTGCCACTTTGGTCCCCAAACTTTCAAAATGTGCCAATCTAGTACCTGTCTTTAACCAGCCATTAAGTGGCATTTGAAAAGACATGAATGCCCTTTAAGTGTCTTCTAATTTCTTTATCAACCATCCAAACATTGACAAAAAAAATGAATAGTCCCAAATCATTGCCTCTTCTATTCAAGAAAGTTGGGTTTATGTCTTTGTGGGCATTCTGGTGATCCCAACTTTCTTAAACAAAAGAAGGAGGGATTTGTGACTGTTCATTTTTTATCAACCTTTGGATGGTTGATAAAGAAAATTAGAAGACACTCAAAAGGCATTTGTGTATTTTCAAATGCCACTTAACATTTGGTTAACAGGCTGGTTAATGACAGCCATAGGTACTGGATTGGCACATTTTGAAAGTTCGGGCACTGAACTATTGCGTTTTAAAGTTCAGGGGACCAAAGTAGCACTAGGCCCAAAGTACAGGGTATTAATTGGGAATTTTCCCTTATTAATAAACTTATCTAGTAAGCCCTTATTTATCCAACAAGCATTCCCAAACAACCCCTTATCAAACCAAACAGGCCAAACGAAACCATTGCAATGATGGAAAAATTTTACAATCGTTCGGGTTTCTCTTATCCATGTTTCTCGTGCTCACTCACGACTAGACATGTTTATGGGCCAGGTAGCTTGATGGCTTGGCCCAGTCCCTGGACGGGCTTGGATATGTTTTTAAGTCTACGGGCTTGACCTCGGGCCCAAAACACCAAGCCTGATTAATTTTTGGGCCAGGATCGGGATTTGTCAAAAAACCCGGCCCAGTTGACTTTTAATATAAGGGTAAAATACAAAAACCTCCCTTGAAGTTTCTAACAATCATAAATACCTCCCCTGAACTTTTGAGAAACTCGACAAAAACCTCCCTTCCGTTACTGATGCAAACGGAAAAATTAACTAATACATTAATTTATTTTAAATACCAAATTTACCCTTCTATCACTACCCTAGATGGAAAATGTTACTGACCACCCACGCAGCAAAGGCACTAGGCCATCGTCATTGCGTTATTCCTTCTTGTTGGCCAGGTCAGACCCAAACCCACATATGCTTTCGAGAGATTTCTAAAGCGAGATCAAGGCAGGTCTGGATTATGAGATCCATGAAAGGGGGAAATTAATGTTGTAATGGCCACTCTCCCATCTTATTACATAGTTGTTGTCATTCATCTCAAAGATTAAAAAGAATAAGCAGCAGCAGAAGAAACTTCTTAATTAACAAATGAAAATTCAGATCTCTAAATTTGTACACGAAGAGCCTTCAACCACCTCTGTAAAACATGTTAAATCATCAAAACTGACTCACTGAAGGACTTTATTGGTTGTGCACCCGTGACCTATCCTTAGTCATGACAAGGATCTTGTTAGCATAGCTGCTTTGCATGAACTACTTTGCAATTAATACTAAGACCTAGAAGAAGAAGATAGTGTTGGTGGCAATGACGAAGATGATACCGAAGAAGAATCCCCTCCACCTTCACCTCCGGTGTCGTGGGAAAAATCCATGGACCAAGATCGCTTTAGTGCTATAGACAGTAATGGTGGTGGGTTTCTCTCGGTGAACAAAATAAGAGAAACCCATAATCAGACATCACCAATTGCAAACGACACCAATAAAGTTCACATCAACGTAGGAATCAACGATGCATTCTAATGTTGACTTCAAATCTCCAGATTGCGAGGCTTCAACTAGATGATGAGAGACTTCTGTCTCATAATCAACCAGAAAGACTTGCTTTCCAGCGGAGAAAACGTCCATTGGAGTGACCCAAGACCGTCATTCTTTCAGGGACGGGCTGACAAGTTTTCTAGCTAAGCAAGCTGCAACTTTAGGTGTCGGAAGTCCAGAGAACTGGCATGGAATCGCACACTTTCTTGGCTAGTGATGGAAGGGTAAAATTGGTATTAAAAGAAATTGATGCATCAACTGACGTTTTCCGTCTGGGTTAGTGATGAAAGGGAGATTTATGTTAAATTTATCAAAAATTTAGGGAGGTATTTGTTATAAGGAAGGTTTTTATGATTGTCAAAACTTCAGAGAAGATTTTTATATTTGACCCTTAATATAATATAAAATATATAAGTATTTTATTTATTTTGTAAACTCTACTTAATCGAGTTGGCCTTTCTCTCTCTGGCTTTCTTCAATCTTCATCATATTCTCATTCTCACAGTTCTCAAGCTAGCAACCATTGGTACCAACGATTTAACGAACCGGCGATCTCCAATGGCGACGAGTCGGCGACAGGCCTGCAGGCTGCAGCCATTCTTTTTGGCCTTCTTTGGCGAACTTAGGTAGCAGGCTAACAACGAACCAGCTATCATCATTTTTGGCCTTCTCCGGTGAGTAGCAGCGGCAACCGGCGATCTCAGGCAATCGCAGTCAGGTCCTCTCTCTCTGTATTCGGGCTTCAGATCAGGCCCGGGCTTCGGGCCTTTTATGGGTCCGGGTTCGGGCGTGAAAAGTTCTGTCCGGCCCGATCCGACGTATGAACAGGTCTACGACAGTCTAAACAATAATTAGAGGTATTTTCGTCATAAAAGTATAAGGTTGATCGAGCCGCGTTCGCTTACGACATTCTAAACAATATTTAAAGGTATTTTCGTCACAAGGTACAAGGTTAATCGATCCCTGAGGCAGATAGATTGAATCATTAAACGAAGAGCGAAACTGAACCCAGACAAAGTGCTCTACAAATCATACTTCAGAGTTCAGATGGTGTAGTCGTCACCTCAATTTCATGGACGACCTTCCTCCGGCTATTGTTCTCGAAATACTGAATCGACTGAATGATTTCGTCGATTTAGCTCGCTGCAGACTCGCTTCCAAGACCTTGAACGCCCTATCTTATGATGTTCGATCTTTGAAAATTCTCTGCTCATTCGATCGATATCTGAAATCAAAGGTACCCGCAACCAAAAGCTCGATTACTCCCTTCAAAACGATAGTTAAGAATCTTGTCTTGAATTTGAGAAATATTGAATTCATTACCATTGGCGTTGAAAAACCATTTCGGGGGATACCCGACGACGACGCCGACGACGAATCCGACGATCTCTACCTTACGACGGTTAATTTCGTGTCTCAATGGTTGCCGGCTATCTCAGGACAGTTGAAATCTCTAGCAATTTCGGATTTTTGGATCCAATCTTGCTGGCGACGATCCGAAGTTCTGTCTCTGATTTCTTCATATTGTGAGTTAACCGAATTTCATTTCATCCCCCTTCCCCTTTTTTTCTTCCTGACTCTTTTTTGTCACTATGGACTATATCTTTGAGCAATCAACAATCTCATGGAATTTATATTCTCTTTCTAAACCCATATTCTGATTTTAGACGATTTGAATAACCAATTTAAAATTTTGGGTTTCAAATGATCCAAATTATGATCACAATTGACAAAAGTAAAGAATCAGGAATTTGTTAAGAAACAGAGAGGTGAAGAATTCTATTGTTAAGAAACGATTTCACCAAGCTCTGGACTAATTTTTATTTTCTTCGTAGGCCACTCCCTTCTCGAATTGGAGGTCAAGAACGCTTGGCTGTCGGTGGAGGGCTTGAAATCAATGCAGGTGCTCACAAGTTTAACACTAGAATTTATAAGATTGGATGATGAAGACCTAGACAAGGTGAATGAGTGCTTCCCCTCACTGCAAGTTCTTAATTTGATCGGCGTTGGAGGGCTTAGAAACCCTAGAGTTCATCTGCTGCAGCTCAAAAAATGCCGTTGGACTGTATCCAATGCTCCACTGTCTCTCACTATTGACGCCCCTAACCTTGTGGAGCTCGACCTGAAATGCGTTAAACCCGACTCTCTAGTGATTGAAGCCCCATTGTTGGCTGCTCTTAACCTTTCAATTGAGAAGGCAGCCAACTTTGGTGTGAAATGCTTACCTAATTTGACGTCTCTTCAGATTGAATCTACTCATCTCTCCACCATTTTAGTGGGGTTTCCAGATGGCAAAACGGTTGAGAAGCTGGTGGTGGATTCACCCAGATGCGCCAACAGTGTTGATGTCCTAGGGAAGGTTGACTTCGACGCATTGATGGGTACTTTTCCAAATGTAAGGTCTCTTACATTGGGGCCTGGAGCATGGTCGGAATTGGAGGTGGGTTTTAGCATCGGAGGCTTGGAAGGTGGGTTTGGAGTGAAGGCTTTGCAACAAATAGTGGTACATTTAGAGGTAACTAATTACAGGATTACAGGTTCTTTCATCTCTTCTATATTGGGCCGATGTCCTAACTTATTAGATGTGGTTCTCATCGTCGACTCTTGCGTTGAGTCTGAGGTTGTGCGCAACCTCATGTCCATGTGCATAGTTGAGTGTCCCAGGGTTAGATGGAGACTAGAGCATGGAAAAAGTGATCAAAACATAATGGGCTTCTAATGAATCCAGATTTAGAAGCAGTCTATCTCTGAAAGTAAGGGCAGAACGAGGAGTTGTCTTATGGTCATTCTGCAATTGCAATTTGATGCACTATTTTGGGGTTGAATCAGTTCACAAATTGTCTGCTTGGACAAGTGGGACATTGCATCTCCTTGGACAAATGAAGTGTATGGATTAGATTGTTGCAATTTGCAAAAGCCAATAACGTACCAGGTTGATGAACTTTTTGACACAGAGAACTGGGTAGAAGTTATTGGATCATTATATGGTTGGCCACCACCTCATGTTGTATCCTGTGTCCTGGTATTTGTACAATGATGTTGCAGTCTGTAAATGCCTAAATTGAATGTGCCAGTGTTTGAATGTATAAGAAAGATCTATGTACATTTATGTGTTTTGATTATGTATGTATGACAGATCCAATTAATTGAAACTTAGTTCAATAATTGATAAAAAAAAAAAAAAACTTAGTTCAATAAAACATTGAAACTACTTGGTTGTTTCCTTTATATGATGCATGGACATACTAAGGGGTTGGAACTGGTGAGTTGTATGTTGATGAAAACTTGAAATCAGAACTGCTTTAATATTCTTGACCGTGCTCAGACTTAGAACCAACTCTTCTACCATGTTACAGTTGGTTAATTCCTACCCTATTGTAAACCCAATTGGGCCTTGCCAGAGCTTTCTAAATCTATCTTGATTCTGACTTGAGAATGAATCCTCTGATCTGATTAATTAGTTCTCTTAACTCTTACGAAGTTAAAAAGTTATAAATATTTGTTCTGAATTATTCCTGGATTAAAGACTTTATTTTATCTTTATCCTTTCTTTTTCTGGTAGTATGAGAGTAGAATCTTGTGCTGACAAGCATGAGAAGTTGAGGACATGGGTTTACAGCCAGGACAGCAATGGTTGTTATTACCTTTGGACTGTTATGCTTTGAATACAATCAAGCATGCCATGTATCAGGACGGTAGGAGGTAACTTGTGCAATTATATCTCCCCTCTATCATTTGTGTCTTCAGCTTTGACCAGGATAGTAAGATGATTGTGATATAATTGATTAGTGTTATGCATACTGTAAAGCCCCATCATGAGAGCATGTTCTGTATCTCCCATTCTTGTTCATAAGAAGTATAACTTGAAGAAAATGAGAGAATTTAAGAGGAGACCATAAGAGTTTAGACAATTAAGAATTTTCAGAATGGATATGCTATGCCAATCTCATGTGTAACTAATTACCATAGTGCACTCTGAATGTCTTATCATTATGTTTACCAAATACAGAAAGAGCAACAACACAGCTGGACAAGGTCTTGGATGCAGAATTTACATATCCAACATGATACAGTGTCCTTGTACAGGTGTATGAATATTATATACTTATCATCTCATTTTGATGTCAAATGACCGTATTCTTACTCTCATTTTGTATAATCTGAGCCTATGCCTAACCTTAAGTTGAGATCAAGTTGCCTTTTTTCAATCTTTATTCTTCTCCATATATCTCCTTTTTCTTTGTAGGAAATAACATTATCCTAATTTTTATTCTCTAACTCCTTTCTTCCTGGGGTTTCTTCATAAGGAGCTTTAGTTAAGATGCTGTTACATCTATTTTGCAGGTGGGTCATTGTGAACTTATTCATCTTTATTGATCTGGCTCCACAGAAATTCTGGGAATTTGAATTTCCTAATTTAGCCAGTAGTTTCTAAACTCGCATTTTAATTTTAAGATTTCAAGAAGTAGTAGGTTGAATTATCTTCAATTCCTGAGATCTACTAAAGCTGCCATTGGTTCCTGAAAGAAGAGTAAGAAAAGAAAAGTTGTGGGAAGATCCTTTAAATTTCCATTACTTTTTTTTTCTCATTCTTTTTTACCAAGGAATCCAAAAGTGGCTCAAAAGGTGAGTCCAGTACTATTGTTCTTGCGAAGGTATTGATTTGGCATTAGGTAGGGCATTAAACCCTGACTATTCAAAACTTAGTTGGAGATGGTCATGGTAGGATAGATCTAAACTGCAATGGAGGGCCTCTCTCTGAGGATGTTTTAATTTTTTGATCAATTACTGGAATTTCATTAAAACATGAAGACCCTCAATCCAATTTAGGGTCAAGTACATTACGGTCCATATTGACCTGAAATAAGTCAAATAACTACTAGAAAGCTCACAATTACCTTAGTTTCATTTCCAGCCTTGGGCTTGGATCCCTCCAAACCAGGTCTGTCATTATTATCCATGCCTTTGTAAGTGATCAGCAAGGCCATTGGCAGATCTAAGTCTCCAATTAAATGAGCAGTTCATATTGGTTGCCAAAGCCTCTGCTTATCTAATTAAATGCAAGGACCTTGAAATGACAATTTGATGGTCTCCTTCAACTAAATTGGAAAATTTTGAAGAGAAAGCCTCTGCTTCTCTAATTAAATGCAAGCACTTCAGCTCTCAATGATTTTCCTTCTCCAAAAGGACCTGAGAAGCTTAACAATATGGCTCCTGCTCCATTCCTTATCATAACTTCTACTCCATATTGTCCTGGATTACCAAAGTAGCAGCTATCAAAATTTAGTTTTATGTTCCCCAATAGTTTTGTTCTTGCTGTTGCTTGGTATAGCTATTTTGGTTGTGTTCTGCCTCAAATTATTGGTTCTGATTTAAGTTTTGCCTCTTTATATTGTATGGACTGAGTCGACTGACTCTTCTATCTATCTGTGTCATGTTAATATAATCTCACTGTCTTGTTACTAATCAGAAAGACAGTTTTGTTTAGGGTAGATGTGTTGCAATATAGATTCCTCTAGTGGGATAGAGAAAGAAGCTGGATCCTTGAAGGCCAGAGTTATTATGGTGCATAATAGTGATGATCTATAGAGTTTCTTCATTGTGCTCAGCTTTGCCAAGGAGATCTTTCCTATGCTTTTCTTTGTTATAGAGTAAATGCCTGGAGTTAGTTCATAGTATTCCATATCTTTTTGCTTAGGTCTGCAAAGGAACTTCCAGTAGGGACAAATAAGTAGTTATGGAGTTTCAATGTCTAACAAATGTCATGCAATTCTTTGTTGTGGCATTTATAGAGCATCTCTTTTGCATTTAAATATTTAATCATCATTCAGTTTTGAGGTTCATCATTCCTGTCTTCTTTGTGATGACTATATGTTGTGAACTTGGTGGTGAGACACAGCAGGGTGGTGATTTTTAAAATATTTTTCCTTCTATCTTGCAAGTTGCTTCGAAGCATGAGATCTGGATTGGTTCTGCAAATAGCGATGTGATAATTGTTCTTTTATGGAAGAATTACTTTTTTTTTTCTTGTAAATGACATAATAACATCCGTTTTGTTATGACTTATTTATCAAAGAAAAAAACTCTTTTGTTATGACTTGTTGGTTTAGTACTTTATTTGGCTATATCTTTGTTTGACAATGAGATTCATAACTTCTACCGGAACATGCATAAGACATCAGAGCTTCATTTATTGGCTTTAGAAAAGAAGGGCCAGCTGGCCTAAGATAATCAACATGCGGGTGGGTGGGCTATCACATTGGTATCTACAAGAGAGGAATTCAAGAGAGTTCATGGACTCCCTAGGTGATGGCAAGTGGTGACTGGCTATGCTCACCAGAGAAGTCAGGTAGTGCAATTTGGGTGTCCCTTGAAGCAGGAAAGATAAAACTAAATTCTTATGATAGTTGAGATAAAACTATCATAAGATGGTTTGGTCATGTGCATAGAAGACCATTGACAGCACCCATAAGAAGTGCTCAGTGCTCTTAACTTAACAATGGATATGACATTAAGCAGAATGGAATGGCGAAACAGGATTCATGTGACTGACTCCATATGGTTGGGGTAATGCTTGGATGATGATGTTGATTGTTGAAATAAAACTAAAATTTGTTGGTTGTACCCTGGGAAAAAACAAGACTATTGAGGTTGATTTTACAGACAAGGGCCATATCATCTTGAGTTACGTTGGCCTATTGGAAAATAAATTCCGTAAGAAATTATAATAAATAAATAAATAAATTCTGTAAGAGATGACAGCTGAGATGCACTTTATTCAGGTGGAATGCTTTGACTGTAAAGTGTGACATCTTGAGTTACGTTGGTTAATGAGATTGTAACTAGGGCATGTAAATCTAACAGTGAGACTATTAGATATGCATTTTCTTTATTTTCTTTCCATCTTTAATCACCATTGAAGCAACTCCAACTTTTTGCAAGTTCTGCAACTTAAACAACAAAGTTGCCTTATGTTTATTTAGTGTCATGACCTTGGGTTTCACATTTGGTGCCAAGGACGCTCATTGTTACTGATCATAAAAGGAAAGAGAAAAAGGATACTCAACATTATGAAAAATTATCAACTAGTTTTGTTTGTTTTGAAATCGGTGGTGGGGGGATGATGATATGAATTCCTTTGCTGTGCATAATATTTCAAACCATTGCTTAACTAGCATAACATAGCAAGAAGATTCTTGACCAGTTACTGTAAGGAGATGATCATAAATTTTGCGAAGTTTCTCATATATTTACCATAAAGGTAATTCTAGCAATCTAGCCTATTACTGGGATTTTTTTCAAATAAAGGATTTTTTTTTTCTCCTGTTCCCATTTTGACTCGGAGTCAGGAATTTAGATGCTCTCTAGCTTTTCCTTAACTAAAATCTTACATAGTTAAGCTCTTTTATGAACCATTGCTATTTAAAGAAAACAATTGAATTAGCATTTGACTAATCTCTCTCCTCTCCTGATTCGGTCAACTTTCGGAGCAGTTTTGGACATGGTAACTGACAAGTGGTTTTTCTATATGGTTGGAATGAGAAGGTTTGCCCTGTCCGGCCTATGATACGTGGACGAAACCTGATCAGATATGAATGCAACTTCCAATATGCTTGGGATGAGGTGGTATGCTGTGATTTGTTTAAGGTGGCGATTGATATCTTAAGACTAAGAGGGGTGCTTGCAGAGAAACCTTCTTCTCCGGCCCAAGATTTTTCATTGTAATTTCATTTGTAATGGTGCAAAAGTATGAGATTGTACAAATTCTGATTTATTTTTATTTTTATTTATATATATAGTGCAAATTAAGTGAAATAGAATATAAAGCAATGCCAAATTAAACCCGAAGGAAAACTGAGTGAGAATTTACACTCTTCTGGTTTGCACTAATGAATTTACACTATATATGATTAAACCACCTCAAATGGATTCGGTTTTCGGCCAAAACAAGGGAAAACGCATAGAAAATGAGGCAAAGTTCCCCTACTGTGATTCTTGGGGTTTATCTGTGTTGGCCAAAACGTGCTACGCCCTCAGTTTCATCTCATCCAATGAGATCAGATTCAGACTCAGTAAGGGCAAATATTTGCCCGGGGCCACAGACAGAATGGGCCAAGATAAAGATCAGATTTTGTCACGGAAGTCTTTAGTGATGGCCCTGATAGACTTTGAGGCTGTGTTGGGTTGTAATGCAATTTTTTTTTTTATAATAAAAATAAATCAAAATTTTCACCTAAATCATTTGCACCACTATATTTAGCATCGGTGTAAATAAATTTGCATAATTGCATTGCAACCAAATACAGCTTGAATTTAAATTTATTGAAAACTTTGAATTAGTCAATTAGGATCTGCTCCTCACACAGACCTCACAGCTATATCCCACCATGTATTAAGAACATTTCTCATGAATAATAAATACAAGTATAGGAGATGTTCCTGATGTGCGATCAAGATATGCTACGAGGAAGGTGTGAAGAGCAGATCCAGACTCAAAGCTTTAGCTGTTTACCGGGCTGTGGAAATGGCCATTTCTTTCCGTGACAATGACTGTTGTAAAGTATTATAACCAACCGATGGTGTATCAACTGGTTTGTTCCAGTACCGATGAGGAATCGAATCCCACAACCAGCACTTTAGAAGAAGTTATTATAAGAAAAAAAGTATTATTATTGGTTTCACATCTGTTGTTGATCAACTAAAGCGTTCAGCTAATCCGATCTCACACAGAGGATTGATACGAGAATTCTGAGCTGAGACACCTCACTAAGCTTGAGGTTAGGGATGTAGGCTTAGGTGGGTCTGGGCTCGGATGATCGTTACTAGCCCAAGCCCAGCCTACCAGAAGTCGTAGGTCGTAGATCGTAGTTAATTAAATTTACGCCCCCAAAATATCAGCAGAATGACAAAAAAGCCCTAAACAATTGCCGTGTTTAGACTAATAGCACGTTTGCAACAATTGACGCAGTGAAGGTAATAGAAGTAAACAGAGGAGGCCATAAACGATTAGCCCTTGCTTTCAGACACATTTCTTCTTTTGTTTCCTTTTTTTTTTCCTTTCAATTTTCTTCTATTCCATTCATAGAATTGCATGATTGGGACTTTCACTGCAAATAAATGCGATTTAGTTGAAAAAATACGTCAAAAGCTTCCTCATTTTTTCTAATAAGCTCTTACACACAGGCGGAAGAGAGAGAAAAGGGGTGAATCTAAAGTCTAAACAGCCATACGACCCATTTACACCCATAGAATCACAGTCGGGTTTCATTCATCTTCAATAACCAATCACAATCACAGCTTCGAGATACTGAAACCTCTACTCGGCTTCTTTCTGTTCGTATTGCGTCCTTGTTTTCAACGAAAGAGATGATTTCTCGAAAACTTCGATGACGGGTATTCTTCAGAAATATTAGTCTTTTCTTTTCCATTTCTTCTTCAAATTTTTTCGCGTTTATTGCATTCGTTCTTTAATTTCTTGCCAATTGCAGCTCTAGCAATTCCAAGCCGTTGACTTGAACTCTGGATTTTGAAGAAAGCAGGGAACTTGGTGTTGTAGCGAATGCTTGAAATGGTTGCACAACGAAGAAATCTGCAGAGTGGGTCGGCGGTTGGTTTGGAGAAGTGGAGAAGATGTGGCAATAATTAGAGGAAAGGGGTGGATTTTAGAAGGATTACTGAGGTGGGTTCTTATTGTTTATTGATTCTGACTCGGATTAAATAGGATACCGGAAGCAGTGGAATAAGGAGGCTTTTGCTCTGTGGAAAAGGAGGTACTTTTCATTAGATTGGTTAGCCCGGGAAACCGACTACTGATGGTGGGAAGGGAAGGGAGGGTTTTAAGCTATTAATCGAGTTTTTGCGATCTTAGCTGCTGATTGTGTGTTAGAATTTTGTCAGTTGGTTTGATACTTGGGAGAAACTTTAGGTCGCAGATTGCTTCGAAACTCCGAATTGTTCTTTATTCTATTTTGTTGGTGCTATCCAATAATAGGAATTTGCAGTTCGTATCAAGGAATTGTTCTTTAAATACTGAGAATGGATGAGTTGTGCTGAATGTTGGTATCAAGGAGAGTTGTAGGGATGAATTCTGCAATGGATGATATCAACTTGCTACAGCAGAGACACCACTTGGTGGTCAGGGAAATAGGAGAGGAGATTGATCTGGAGATTGGGCCTGGCGACGACGATCCCTCATTTGCTAATACGCCTCTCATGGGTGTTCCACCACGAGAACCTTCTGCTGAAGAGCAGGAAGAGCATAAACAGCTCCTCATGGCTGCGCAAAACCAGAATGAAGAGCAAGAGGTTCCAAAGACACAACCAACGAAAAAGAAGAAGAAGGTGGTCAAGAGATGGAGGGAGGAATGGGCTGACACCTACAAATGGGCTTATGTTGATGTCAAAGAGGGCACTGCAAGAATATTCTGTTCTGTTTGCAGGGAATATGGGAGGAAGCACAGAAGGAACCCATATGGGAATGAAGGCAGTCGGAATATGCAGATGAGTGCACTGGAAGAGCACAACAACAGCCTGCTTCATAAAGAGGCTCTCCGGCTCCAGATGGCCTCCAAGGACAAGATTATAACCATTGCTGACAAACCCATATATGTAAAAGGTCTGTTGCTTTCTTACATCATATATAAATAGATCTTGTAAAAGGTCTCTCAGTTAGTTGGTCATAATCATTTTTCTGATCCATCATATGCTACCTTATCATGGGGAAAGATTGTCTCCCTTGCTTATTTTTTTTTCCACTTGATAGTTAAGCTCAACCTTGACTTAGAACTCCTTCAAAAAACCAAAAATAATGTGAATGAGTGATATCTAATCACAGAAGCCTTTATCTTATAAGAGTGTTGCTTCAAGCTTCAACGCTTAACTGCACTAACTACACTAAATTGAGCCTTATTCTACTCAGAATCTCCTACACAAATCCTGCTCCACCATTAACTTTGTCCAGGGTATGATATCTTCTGTTAACTTGAAGTTATAATCACAAGCATCATTATAGAGGCTGGATTTAAGGTTTGCATGCATTGAACTTGAGGCTGGTCATAACTGCTAACCTTGCGTTTAACCTAGGTATAGAATTGACTTGAAGAAGCAAGTATAGCACCTGGATTTAGGAAGTGCACAACCTCAGGAAGGATAAAAGCCTAAATTGGGGATATCAAGTGACTGGTGGCTGAACATTGGAGCTTCATCAATTTTATAATTTGGAAATACATACATGGGTTTGCCAAGGATCATATCTTAATAAATATGCCTCTTCACTCCTGTAATCATCTTTCTGCATTCGTTTTTCTTCCTTAAGAAAAAGAAAATCAAGTAGACTGGTGGTTGAAAATTGGAGCAGCATCAATTTTATAATTTGGAAATACATATATGGGTTTGCCAAGTATCATATTTTAATAAGTTTGTCTCTTCACTCCCATAATCATCTTTCTGCATTCCTTTTTCTTCCTTAAGAAAAAGACAAAAAAAATCTTTTTCTTCAATAGATCAATTTATTGTAGGTTCATTTCTGTATTTCAGCAAACCATAGATATCTAGAATAATAATATTAATTCACCAAGAAAAGATGGCTATAGTTTTTGGAAAAACATCAAAAACTTGTGCTCAATAAAAATGAAAAAAAAAACATAAAAAACTTCCACTGGAAATATGACTTAGATATAGGGATATTTTGATTTTAGTTGATAAGATCCTCCAATCAAAATTGTGGGGCATTTTTACAGCTTCAACTCCCCCAACAATTATGTTACTGGATATTCATTTTTTATCAGTAACTGTTATCTTTGTTCATTATAAAAAGACATATTAATATGTACAAGCATGTTCCAAGTACTCCAAATACATAGGTTGCCTCGGCTAGCCATCTTACAAAAGTATACACAATACAAATTTACCCCTGGGGTGTTAAAGCCCAATATATTTCATTTCTATTTTCTGGATATTTAAACTCATTGAATATTCACTTTTTTGCTGAGTTTATTTGTTTTATTCTCATCAGCTACCGACTATGTTAATTAGATATCTCTGCAATTTTATTTTATCCTTTTAATGTTCCTTTCACCATAATGAGAATTTCAATGTGAGATCTTGAAAGATTTTTTTTCTTATGATATGTCAAAGTTCATGTTTTTATTAAAAAAAAAAGTTTTTCTAATGATGTGCTTTTCTAGAAATTTTCTTTACTCAATTTTCTTTTATTTGCTTTGTTGGAACACGTTTCTCAAACAGCTCTTATGTCTAAAACTGCTGGATCAATTGTTGAAGCTGTACTAAGAAGGGATCCTCATGAGGTTGAGTTCATACAGTCAGTACAAGAAGCTGTTCATTCTTTAGAACGAGTAATAGCAAAGAATACTCAGTGAGTTACCCTAGGAAAAGGAACTATCTTTACTTGGGTCTTTATAATTAAGTGCCAAAAAAAAAAAAGAAAAAGGAAACAAGAAAGGAAGTACAACTTATGAGGTGGCTCTATTATGTTTCAGTTATATCCATATTCTGGAGCGATTGTTAGAACCTGAGCGTATGATTGTATTTCGAGTGCCATGGGTTGATGATAGGGGAGAGACACATGTAAATCGAGGATTCCGTGTACAATTCAGCCAAGTCTTGGGTCCTTGCAGGGGTGGTTTGCGTTATCATCCATCCATGAACTTGAGTACTGCCAAATTTCTTGGGTTTGAACAGGTATTCTTTGCATTTACAGATCTCCAGTATCTTTGTCCTATCCCTTGTTGTTGAAGTGTCCATGTTTTGCCTCAACATATGCCAGTTTTAAATATTTTTTGTCCTTGTGTTTGATAGCATTGGATTGGCATGTTACATATGGATACCCCTCTGTTGACTACTTGGATTAATTATTATAGCAGTTGTCGTTAGAAAGCTATGGTTTAGCTAGATTTTTGTAGGATGATAAAAACCAGCATTGTCTGTCACTCTTATTTAACTGAAGTTCTTTCTTCTTGTTTACAATAAATATTCAGATCTCATTGCTTCCCTCAGAATTTTTTTCTGAGAATCTCTCTCTTTGATGTGGATGCGTTTATTGGGAAGAAGTATAGCCACCGGCAGCAGCAGTAATTGGGTGTTCTCAGTTCTCATCTTATCTAATTCCAGCTAGATACAGTTGTTCTATCTTATCTATTCAGCATTCTTATCTTATCTGTTTTCAGTAGTAGGATTAGTAGGGAGTCTTATCTATTCAGTGTTCTTATCTTATCTTCTGTTTTCAGTAGTAGGATT